AGAAAAATAATTTTTGAATTTTTTGGTAGTAAATTATGTTTATATGGAGTAGAATATAAGAAAAACGTTATTATTTTTTAATATTGAGTCAATATTTCTTTATGCTCTCCAAACCCTGAACCCAAATCTTTTAAATTTTTAACTTCGAAACTGGACTCTTTTTTTTGTCAAAGGTTTCGCATCTGATTTAGACTAACTCAACTCAGGTTCCCCTTTTAGAACCAGCAACCAAGGTTGCCTCCCATTATTTTTTGTAAAAAAAATTTTACGCTTTCTCCCGATTTTTTTTTAAAATTTGCCTGACCGAAACTTACACTGGCATTTATTAATTTCATACATTTAAAAAATCTTGTTTATCTTAATTTATTCTTCCTCCTTATTATTTTTGGAAAAAGAAGAACTCGTGTGTATATAAAATCTAATTTTTATCGATTTTATAAACATTAGATTTTATTATATAATAAAGAAAATCTTTAATATCTTTTAATTTTAAAAAGTAAGTGAATATGAATGAAGGAGGCCTATTCAAAAATATATCGAATATTTGTTTCGTTTCGAATAATTTGAATCGAATAGTAACAAATGCCAATACATTGGAATAAAAAAAATAAAGCAAATAATTCAAATATTCGATAAATTATTTGAATAATTCGTTTATTCGAATCTAATTGTTCGAATATTAGAAATATTTTGAATTGTTTTTACTTGTAAAAATCACGGCTACATTTTAAAATTACCTGGAGTGCCATATTTTACAAAACTCGGGAGAGGGAGGGAGGGCTATCTTCTTTTTAAGATCCTTTAATTTTATTGTATAAATTGAATGGTTTAAAAAATAATCTTAATGTATTTATTGAATATAATAAATATAATATTTATTTAAATTTATGAAACTATTAAATCATATTAAATATTAAGCCAAGTTGTTATTTATATTTTTTTTATTATAGCCATTTTTTAAAACTCAAATTATAAAACAAAAATGGATGACGATATCGTATGTTGAACAGACACAGAAAATTTTGAAATGAACGAAATAAAATTTCCGTTTCCCTCCCATGAAAAATTTGTCTAAAAGAGGTTAATGTTTGAGAAACACCTACGCTGTTCTTCAATATCAATTTAGCGGTAACAGTTGATGCGAAGAAAGTTTCCGAAATAGAAGATTTTAAATGATATAGCAAGGTTCATTTCAAAATTGTCAGTCTTTATGGAATAAGAAAAATAAGTTCACAAATAATTTAAAAAATTGGGAATTTGATATATCCAAATACCACTAGTTGGAATTAACCTGAAGTCTTTGTATTGTTAGATAAAATATTAAGATAAAAAATGCATCTTTATCATTTGTAATAACTTAGAGAGGGTGAGCAGGGGTTTTTTTTTAACTCTAACTATTTCTAGATCAATTATATGATTTTGCAGATTCAAAGTTTTGTCAAATTCTTATAGAGCCTCTTATACGGAGCATTGATATAAGGTTTATAATACATTTAAATTGAATTGTGAATGAATAAGCAGGGATGCGAATCCGGCTAAAATTTTATCCGGGTTCGGATCAAGGTAAATAAAATTAAGTGGGTTCGGGGAATATTTTTGAACCCAGGTTTGGTTCCGACTTCAGCTCGGGTATAGGAATTTTCGAATTGATAAAATAAATTCTATGTTTTTTTTAAATCATAATTAAAAAACTAGATATAAATTTATTATAAAAAAATAAATTTTTATTTTATTTATAGGCAAAATATATTTAGAAATTTGAAAATGTTATTTAGACGTAATAGCATAATATCTTCCAAGAGTTATTCCCTAATCCTTGTTCTATGCAGTGAAAGAATGAATTTCAAATGTGAAAAAGATCTTTCAAAGCTAATATTAAATATATTTATATGAAAATAGGATAAATTAAAGATTTTTTATAAAATATACAAATTAGGGTTTCTATTAAAATTAGTAAAACTGCGAATTTATTTTGAAATTTAAAATTTGTGAATTTAAAAATTGAAACACGAATATAATTGTTAAACTGCAGAGTTGTTAAAGTAGCGCGGTAACTTTTTTGGTAACTATAGCTAATAGCGGCTACTTTTTTTGTAATTATTTAATTTTTTAGCGCGTTACTTTTTTTGTATAAACATGAAAATTTAAATATAATATCATAATTAATTATAATTTTTATTATTTATTATTTAATTTTGAAATTAAAAAAATATAATTTCAATTTGTAATTTATATTTTCATTTGTATTATAAACCTAAATCACGTGTTAATAATTTAAAATGTCATCGCCTATGGATATCCAAATCGTTGAAAGTGATTCAGACAATGATATTAATGAAATGGAAGATACCAAGGGAAGAAAATGTTCTTAATAGCTATAATACAAATTTCCCATTAACTAGATTTGAAAATTTTTTAAAATAAATATATAACCAAAACTGATTTCAAATTTATTTGTTTAAAATGTAAAAAAAAAATATTTCCCCAAATCAATCCAGTAGCTATAACCTCAAGAAACACCTAATGGTAAATTGTCATTTTTACATTCTAATAATATTTATTTTATAAGACTGTTCATGAGTTTTAAGGAAATGGAGAAACATCTAAATAATTTTGGTATAGGCGACTCTACATCCAAAAAGACTAATTCAATTCAAACCAAATTAATTAATAATGCAAATGACAATGTTTCTCAGAAATTGGCTGATAAAGTTATTGTTGATTTTATAATTTATACAGCTCAGCCAACGTCCTTAGTTGATAATCCACCATTTACCATGATGATTAAAACTCTATCCCCCTGGTACAACAATTTTATGCTGCCAGACTAATGAATAAAATAGCAGATAACTTTAAAATAATGAAAGATGCTCTAATAGTAGAGTTATCAGAGATATCATATATATGTACCATGGGAGATAGTTGAACACATAACAGAAGGTAAAAACTTATTTATATTTATAAATTGATCTGATTAAATATTTTTAAGCTTATTTGGGAATCACAGGCCATTAACTAGACCCTAGAACTTTAAAAAGAAGATCTGTGGCATTAGCCCTCAAAATGATAATAGGATGCCAGACATATACGATGTAAAATTATTGATAATCTATCTTATATTAAAAATATGTATATAGGATTAAATACGCCCTTACCCTCAAGTGCTAGTGTCGAGAGATTATTTAATAAGGCAAAACTTATACTTTCTGATCGTTGCTCTAGACTTGGGGATGATAATATTGAAATGATTTTATTATTAAAATGCAACAAATTACCATAAATATTCATTTTTATTACATAAATTTTTTTATAATCAAAACTAACTATATTTTAATATTTATAAATGTTGATTTTTATATATTTACTATACAATAACATTATAAGCAAAAAAAAAATTTTGTTTGTAAATTTTTTTCATAAAAAGTAGCTTAAAAAGTAGCTAATAGCGAGCTACTTTTTTTAACAAATAGCGATAGCGGTAGCGGGCTACTTTTAAGATTAGCGTTTAACAACTCTGTTAAACTATGAATTTAATTATAAAACTGAAAATAATAAAAGCTGCAAAATAATAAAAGCTGCAAAATAATATTTAAAAACTGTGATTTAAAAACTAACTGTACCATATATATTTGTTCCCGAAAACAAATTCTAACACCTACTATACTCGCAAGTAGTGATGCAAAATCGTTCCACTTGAGTCGATTTTTAAAAACGGCTAACTCAGTATTTTAGCCAGAAAAATATTTCATAAGCCTTGAGATTTCGCTAATAGGTGTTCAAACCTCTTTGCCATCTATGAGCAAAATCTTCATACTTGCGAATATTTTTATGGGTAAAATACAGAGCTAGCCGTTTTTAAAAATCGGCTAAAGTGGAGCGATTTTGCATCACTACTCGCAAGCACTTGTTTTCACATAAATAGTTTTTTTTGTTAATATGAATGTAGGAATGTTAAAAATAAAAACATGATTAATGAAAATGTAGCTGTGGTGATTTGATAAGAAGTTAATGATTTTTCTGTCGTATTAATTTATATACCATAATAAACTTTGTATAAAAAATTTTTTTAGAAGTTTAATATGTATTTTAAATAAATATTTGCATTGAGGTTGTCCAAATGACTCACATTCGGATTTATAAACCTGGCAACCATATTATGGAAAAAAAAATGTTGTGAATTGGGTTTTAAATATTGTTTTTGCGGAACTATTTCAAGCGAAATGATATATAAAATGCAGGGCAATGTTAAGACTTTTGGATACCCATGGCAAAAATGAATTAAGAAAAATACAATTTATCTAAACTTTGAAAAATCATAAAATAAAGAACTAGGATTATATTTGTATAATGGAATTCTTGAATAAGGAAATTAGAATATGAATTACAATTAGGCAATATTACACAAATCTTTTAATAGCTGAATTAGGTAATTTAATTCACTTTTATACGCACAAGAAAATGTGGATTTACCGAAAATTGACTAATTTTTCAGGTCCAGTATGACTGCTACGCCTTCTCTCCCATGTTCGGAACGGAGTAATTATAGAAAATTTAGAGTCAAACTGATATGACACCTTTTCTATATTTAAAGAATTTTATTTTTTATACAAAATTATAAGTTATCAATATAATCAAATCAATTTTCGTTATTCCTTCTAACTAAATAAAATTAGTTTTTATCATACAAAAACAAAACAAAGTTTAGTTATAAAAAGTTTTGAAAGTTATTAATTTTAATTATTTGTTTTTGTTTATATTTATTTGCCATCGAATCTTAACCCTTTCGCGCCCGACTTTTTTTCCCTCGATAAAAAAAATTTTTTTTTAAGAGATACTTATTATAGACACAAATAACATATTTTTATCAAAAAAACTTATTTCGAGTATTTCTGTCAAAAAATATTCAATGATTCCAAATGTCATCAATGGGCAAAATGCAAGTTCATTAAAAAAAATATTTTATTTCATATGAAATGACAAATAACAATTTCGTTTATTATTTATACATAAATAAATATTACACTTTTGACACATAATTCTTGAATATGCATCTACGCAATACTTGCACCTTTGTTTAATTGTTACGGGCTTTGGGAAATGACCTACTTGGTCATATCTTATATCCGATATGGTGACAATATTTATGGCTTTTCTTCTCTTTACAACTATACTGGAAGGTCTTCCAGTCTTCTTGTTATTAACTTTTCCTGCTAGCATCAGCCCTTTTGCTATTTGAGATTTAAATACCAATAATGTCATAAATTTGATATTATTTGCTTTCATATGGCGTCTGGAGCCATGCATTTATTTCACAAGAATCCAATAAATGGAAAACCATTCGCATATAATATATTTTCCATTTAATATCTGTCCTATAACTCCACCAGCATATCGTGAAGATCTACTCCACCCATTCCCTCATTATAGTTTTTTATTATAGCGGGCATTTCTACATTTATAAAGGTTTTGTCCGATACAGACCATCGTTTAATTTTGGTCGTAGGTAAAACACCTATAAAATTAGATATTGTAATAACAGTTTTGTTGTCCTGCCATTTGCAGATAATATCGTTTTTTTTACTTTTATAATCTACAGCGCCTCTTCCTTCCTTTTTTAAAGCCTTATCGTTTTTAAGTGCGCATCCTGATAATCGATTAGACCTTACCGTTCCGGACACCAAATATCCCTTTTTTTAAGAATCATAAATAATTGGTATGAGGAGAAAAAATTATCCTATAATTTATGGTTTTTATTTGATGGTATTATTTCAGACAGGCGAAGTACGATATCTCCACTGATACCTAAATATGATTTTATAGTATTAGTAGACTTTCCCTTGTATATTTCAAAATCATACATAAATCCAGAAGAGCCACATAGGGCAAACACTTTTATCCTCCATTTATGGGGCTTCGATATAATGTATTGCCATAATTTAGAGCGCCCTTGAAAGGAATTATGAATTCTTCTACAGCTAACTTCTCTTCGAGTTGAATTTTTGAATTTTTTCTTAGTTGGCATATGAAGGGTTGAATTTTGAATAATATTGTATCCCTCATCTTCCCTATCTTAGTTATTAATATGGAAAAATTTCCGGATCAAAAGGAAACGATTTCGGGACATAGTTTCCGCTACTTGTGGAATAGATGTTTCAACAGACCAATATTGTCTTATAGAAGGCATCTTAACTAAGCTAGTATATAAATGTATCCCAATAAATCTTTCAATTTCATCGCTATCTGTATTTATATATTTACCACAACATTGGAATGAATAAATATTTGTTTCCGATACGTAATTACTAATTATCTGGTGGTCCAAAAATTTACGAAAATATGTTATTGAATCATGTTCAGGAATTTCCAAAATAGGGATAAATTCTATATTAATTTGTCCGATGTCATTCTTAGACCAAATCGGGTTATCTTTTATTTTAGTTATAATTGTATCTTCTACTATATCCTCCAATTGAAGACCTAGTTCATTCGTAATAGAAGATGATGTGGGCAAATCATCTCCCAGCAAAGGATAATAATTATCTTCTTCGTCTAAGCTCTCTATATCAGCCTCAGATATATAACCTTCGGGATAAGAGTCATATCTAAATGCATATTGATATAAAAAGCATCTCATAATACATGTTATCTATAAAAAAATATTTATTAGAACCTCTTTATATCCAAGAAAACCCACTTATAGATATTAGATAATTAATACAGGTAATAATAACGAAAATTTAATTACACCCCCCCCCCCCATCCAGTTTTCATAACCCTAAAACTAAATATCCTAAATAATTTGCCTAAAATTTCCATTTATTCATAAATTAATATTTTGGTGCATAAGAAATTACCATTGATCAAGAAGATTGAATGAAAATATTTTGTGAAGGCTTCAATTTATAGATATTATTTATAGTTAAAAGGCATTATGCTCAATTTCCAGCACCTAAAATGATTAAAAAGATGATAATTTTTAAATAAAAATATTAATATACATATATATATATTAATAATAAAATTATTACTTATATTTTTAGCAAAATTTGATAACCAGAAATATGAGTTAAAATTTTGGCGCGAAAATGATATGAAATAACTATGATATGATATAATAACATGTGATACAAAGCGAGTTAGTGATAAAATACGAAACAGCAAATATTAAAAATTAAAAATATGATTACAAAAGTTATCAGTGGCCATTTTTAATGCATAAAAAATATTATTGAAAAATTATGATTCCAAATGTTATCCAAGGCGCGAAAGGGTTAAAAATAAAGTATTTTTACCTATTTGATAACATTTTTTTTTCCATATCATAAATTTTTACCTATTTGATAACATTTTTTTTTCCATACCATAAATTTTTTAATAATAATTTCAAATTAATTAAAAATAAATTATTTTGTAACATATTTTATTGTGCAAGCCAAATTGCCAATGATAAAATTTATATAAGGCTAGTAGTACGATCAAAAAATAAAAAATGTCCAGGGAAAACCAGATATAAAAAAATATTCAGAAAAATAATTTTTGTCCAGTATTCTTAATTCTTATACAACTAAAATAGTGTATTGGAAAAATGAACTAATTCGTTGAACGAAAATCGCGAATTTGTTGATAAAAAGTGTATAACAAATTTGAACGATCAAATTATGTAAACATTACATTTATTACCTAGATTATTTTAATTACTAAAAAATAGCTTAGGTAAAAAACGAATATATTTTAATTAATCGCGAACAAAATTAAATAAAACCAAAATTACTTTTTGCCAATTTTTATAAATTAACGATCCCAAGAAAATTTTACCAAAAAAATTTATTCAAAACAAATGTTTTAAATTCACTTATTTATTTTCATTAGTTTGTGAGTATATTAAAATGAAATTAAAAATAAATAGATCCTGTTAATTTAATTGAATTATTGACATAATCCCTATTAATTGTATATCAATTCATTTTAATTTCATGATATTTTTATTTTACTTTAATCAGATTTTAAATCACTTGGAGCAGTATTTGAATATTCAAATCATATATCATTTAAAATATAACACTACCACCAATTTAAATCTCAAATTGTCTTGTAATTATGGTGACTGAGATAAATGTCATTTTTTTAAAGATTTACACTATCAATTAATTTAGTACATGCGATATCAATCTAATTGCCATATGTAGTAAACGCATCATTTTTATTTAATATGGAAACCGTTTTGAGTTTGACATACCTATTTAGTCTGGATAAATAAAATGATTTTTATGATATTCTTTTCCTACATACAAAAAAGATTAAATTGATATGCAAGAAAATGAATTGAAGTGTCTAGTGCACAAGATGAAATTTGAAAGATTTGTTAAAAATCAAATGGAAAAAAAATGGGTTTTTATGTGAGAAAAAAAAAGGAAATATGAGGCTTATATTATAAAAAATATTAGAAATTTTAAATATATTTTGTAGCAAGAAAATTTTTAAAAAAATATCAAAAGATTCCTCAGTATCACTATCAGTTCCACATTATCTCCCAGATGTTATTCCTTTTAAATTATAAAAAACGTAAAAAAATAAAATTATTAAATGAAATACAAATAGTGTGGTAAAAAAAAATATTTTTTAAAAAACATTTAGTGTAATTTTTGTATTTTTTTTTTCATTCATAAATTTTTAATATTTTTACGAACTATTATAGTAAAAATGAAAGGATTCTATTTTTAAATAAGTTTAGATATACTAAAAAAAGTTAAGGCTATTTTGTTTAAAAAATAAGTTTGATATACGATACTTATAATAAATTTTTACTAAATAATAGAATACGTTTGATAAGGCAAAGATTTTTGAGGTTTCTGCACTACCAATAAATTTCAAATCGATAAAAGTTTATTATGTGATGAATCTGAGACAACAGGTGCGGCAAAATACAACTTCTTAGAGTAAAATGAGGAAAGGAATTAAAAAATATAACGAGTTAAGTCTATAATGATAATAAAGTACCAATTAATCAATTTTTTAATAAAAGCAAAACAAGAATTTCAGAAAACTAATTTATTAAATATATGCGCATTTTATTTTGGTGGAATATTTTAAAGAATTTCCCACCCAGCAGTATCAATATATAACAATGGTCCCCCCAAATTAATTCAAATACATTACTTTACGAATATAATAAATATTATACTCGGTCAAGATGAATAAATAGCTTATTTATTTATCTATATCAAGAAATCAATATATTTTTTAAAGTGAAAAAAAAGTATCTTTTCACAAGTTTATTAATTTAAAAGCTCACTACTTGACCTCAATTTCAAGAAAGATGGGCGCAATTAAATTATGTGTAAAAATTTCAACTTTTTATTTTATAATTTTTGTTTTTTTTTATCTATAAAAAATGCAAATATAATATTTATGTTTTATATAATATGGGATATTTTTAAAAATAATTATAATTAAAATAATGAAGGTAAATGATTTTCTTTTTAAACATAATATTACTTATATAATTATGATATAGCGGGAAAGATAATTGGTTCGAAATTGAAACTCAAAAAAAATTCATAAATATTTTAAATTATGTACAGGTTTTATATTAAATAGAGTATAAAGTAAAAAAATTAATTATCAAATAAGAGGTAATTTATTCATAAATTTTGAAGTATAACTTTTTTAGAAAAAAATCTTTGGTACTATTTTAAAAAATAACTAAATAAAAACAATTTTGTGTAAATCTAATACCAAAAATTAAGGATTTTGTGCAATTTTTATATATGGCGCATGTATAATAGATGATAAGTACGAATATTTTGGGTCTAAAAAGTTACTTCAAAAAAAACAAACATAGGCGTGAGGGGATAAAATTTCTCTAAAAAATATATTAAATCTGAATTTATTGTTCTTTTTTTAAAAAAATGTTTACTTACATATGCATATTATATAAAACGGATGTGTGCTAATATTATACAATATATAAATTAACAAAAAAATATTTTTGGATGGAATTATACATTCTTAGAAGAAATGTTAAATAAAAAAAGAATTATTTATCATTTTGAGAGAATTGTGTACAAGAGGGGCACTGAAAATGGCACTATATTATATAAATAAAAGAGTTCTATTAGATAAACTTTTAAATATTTTTAAATATTTTATTAAAAAAATTATTATCCTAAATTTATGTATGTATTATAATATAAATATGAAAAATAAATAGTTTTGATTAACAATATTTTTTAATTGATCACAAATTTATGATTTAAAATAAATTTTATTGGGGGATTGTTTTAATTGCTATTGGTTGAAAAGCTTTTAAATATTGGAAGCCTCGGGTTTTTGATATCAGCAGAATTAGAGTTGGTAGAAGTAATTTCTTCTTGATGGTCATTACTCGTCTCACTGGTATTTCCGGAAAAATTGCTATCGGGGGACGAAGCTCCCTTGATATTAGATGATTTTTTAAGGTTCAATTTATCGACCAAATCTGTCAATTTAGATATGTTTCCGTTAATGAGAGTCTTGTGCAAGAGGGTGTTAAATAAATTTGCATATAAATTATTGTCCTCAATGCCGGAATCGCTAGCGGATCCAAAATTATCTTCAGCTTGATAGCGCATAGATTTGTAGTTATCGCTGATCCCAAGTCTGGATTGTTTCATTACGTTAGCTTTATTATTCACATCGGCGCGAGTTTTACCGAGGCGATTGATATCTTTTGATAAATATTCTATAATAGTTTCGCAGTTAGGCTGTTTATTAATATTTTGACTAGGTAATTGATTATAATTATTCAAATTGCCGATATTAGACATGGTAGGCAAGGATCGTCTATTCATTAAGTTGATATTTGCTAAATTTTCATCTATGATCAAATCGTCTGAGCGAGGGGAAGGTAGCGATATAGCATTCATGAGCGTATTTTTAAGTATCTCTAGATCGTGGGGTTGAATAGCGAGTGGCAGCGAAAAATTACGCTTATTGTCATTCACGTTGTTAGTTTTATTGGTATTGTTATCTTCACCTAAATGGCTCAAATCGTAATAATTCGAGGCAGGAATAATAGAATGCCGAAATCTTTTTGGAAGGTTTGATTGAAGCGAGGATAAAAATGGTGGAACAATTTTACTCACCATTTCTTCTCCGTTGTGTATAAAATGACAGCGAGGTCCATACGGGCAAAATCCTATGCTATGAAAAGTGCGACAAAGCTCTGTTTTATATTTGGGATGTCTGCTCAAGTTTCGCATTTCATTCACACCATGCGCGAACTGACATTTATCACCGTATTTGCACTCACCACTCTCCTCAAATGGACGACACAATTCAGTCTTGTAACGACTCGTACCGTTGGGACCGTTCATCATGGAAGTGTTATTAAGTTGATACATCTGATTAATTTGATTCTGTTGATTAGTTTTATTAATAAGCTCGGCATTGTAACTATCGTTTGGATCGCTCAGGCACTTGTTGATCTTCCTGTGTTGCTTTAACAAGGAATTACGATTATTCAGCAATTCTTCGTTGTTGGCATTACGCGGTGGAAAGGGTAAAAATTTTAAATCGTTATTTTTTAGATAATCAATGTTTTCCAACTGTGGCGCATTATAAAAATTAGCGGTAGACTTGGTATATGCTTTATATGCGTCCTGCGCATTTTGATGCGATTGCATAAATACTTGAGATGATATATTAAGCCTTTCGCAATTGGGTAAGACCTATTTTTTTTAAATATAATATTTGAAAAATAACCACGTTGTTATAATATGCATAAATAAATATAATTTGAATAGAAGCAATATAATTTTAGCATAACTTTTTTAATATAATTTATAAAAATTTCTTACTCTCATCGATGATGAATTATGATAATTTACTGGATTTGAATCGATATTATGCATTTATTTGAAATTAATAAAATTTAAATAAAATATTAATTATTTTTAAAATAAACTAATTTATAATATCAATGAATTTAGAATAAAACTTATGAATGACCAAAAAATTGTGAATTATTTTATATTTATAATATTATTTATTTTTAAATGCTAGACGAGGATAAATAAAATAAACATTTTTTAAAAAAATAAACAATTTAATTATTAAGATAAGTAAACAATATTTATAATATAATTTTATAAAATTCATTCATTTTTTTTATTTTATTTATTTTATTTAGAAAATACTAGAATATTTTAAAATAAGTAAATATGATGAATGAGCGATTTAAATTTTTATTGGTTCTAATTTAGAAAATTATAAAATCCCTCCAAAATTTATTTATAAACGTTATTTATTGATTATTTCTATATTCATTAATTTCTAAAAAATAAATATTTAACCCTTCGATAGTCTGTCTGGGGTAAATATAAAGTTTATTTTAATACAAATTCGCAATTTAATCTTTCTTTCATCGTGTAATAAAATGACAATATATTTTTGACATTAATTATGATAGGTGTAAATTTTAAGATTAATAACAATAGTGAATTCTATAGTATTATCTTAATCACGGGTAAAACTCGCTATATACATAAACTAAGTGTTTTCCAAATCTTCAGCGTTATATTTTGAGTAAGATAGGTTTGATGAACTGAGTTTTCACTTTTAAGGTATTTCAAAATTCAAAAAATAATTACTCAAGTAAAAAAAATTTCAAAAAGCACCTAAATAAAAACGATTAATCAAATTCCAATATTTGTTTTATAGATATTTTTCCTAATTTTTTATTTGGATTCTTGGAATATAAAAATTTAAATTTTTGTCGCGCAATTTTTTCTGAAATTGTCATTTATAAATTATAATTATGCCTTTAAGAAAATATATTATTGGAAAAAGAACGATTCGCTATTTAAAAATGATTTATTGGTTCTGTTGTTAATTTTATAAAAATTTTCCAATAAATGCTCTATAAATAGTTAATTAATAAATGTACTTTTTTTCTTATCACATTTCATCAGACGTGCAAAATAAATTATCGGTCGTGAAATCCGAGTCGGTTAAATTTTTTTTAAACATATTTTGATCAGTGGGAATTCATTTTTATTTACTTTATATTTTACTTTTGCCACAATTTAATGACGAGATTTTAGCATTGAAGTCTCTTGTCTCTCACCCAACGAACTATTATTTTGGTTGTAAAATCAAATTCGAAATCTTAAAAAATTACCGGAAGCTTATAGGGCCTTTTAACAATTTAAAAAAAACATTTACATAATAACTAAAATTTCATTTTAAACAAAAAAATTAATTTTCTCCTTTTTATTACGCTTTGCTTTGCAATTTTCTTTTTTTTGTTTCCTCTTGCCTCCCCCTACTAAACGTAAAACAAGACTACCCAAAATATTTAGTTTTTTTTAATCCGATTATAAAATTTAATTTATTGTTTTTGTTATTATGATTTACGAATTATTTTATGTAATATCAATCAAAAAAATTATTTTGTTAACATATTTACATTTATATTATACTTATATTAAAAATAGAAATTTATATTTGTAAAAAAACTACAGACCTACAGCGTATATAATATATTTTTTAAATATTTTGATATAATTTGCTATATAAATATAATTCACATAAGTTTTTTTTATATTTTTCTCATATTTTATAGGGCATTTCCTCCTTTGCATTTCTCTTTAGTCGCATCGCAACAAAAATCTTAAAATATAGTATTTTTAAATTAATATGTTTATAATATTACATTAAGAAAATGAGATATAATAAATGTCCAATAAAATTTTTATATATTTATAAATTATAACCTGTGATCATTTTGTCTTACAATAAAATAATAAGTGTCTTGCGCAAAGGATTTTGTTTTTAAATTTTATGCAACAAATAAGTAAAAATTAATTCAATAGATCATCCATATAATTTTAAATTACTTTTTTTATAAAACATAAAGGTAAGTAAGAGTAATGTTGTTAGTATAAATAGAATGGTCATTTTTTTAAAAATTAGTTTAATTAAAACAACCTTAGGTGTTTTTTTTTAAATCTCTCTGGTAACCTTTTTGTTATACAGTATAGACACAAAAAAATTATTTGCAAGAAAATAAATTTTACAAAATGACCATTGTGATATTTTCCTTTTACATTATGTAAAGTTTGTGTTAATGAATTGTATAAGACAAGAAACATTCCTTATTTTTTTAATATTGTTTACCAAAAATTAATAGTTGATGAAGCCCCTATAATATCACTAATAAGTATTTATATTATTTTGCTAGGGTGAGAAAGAGCAAAGCTTAACTTTGGAGGGTTCACTTTTAATTATATTTTATTTTTGTTTTTAAAATTTTAATTCTAGTCATTAATTTAATTATTGTTTTAAAATTATGGCTAATTTTATTTTTATAAAGATCTATGTCGCCATTAGAAAAAATTGAGTTTTTGTGATTTTTTTTCCTTCTCTTCTATTTTTTCAAGCTTCACAAACATAATTCTTGGATTTTCAAATCAAAATATCATTGTAGTTGTAAAAAAATTTAGTAATATAAAAACCAGAGACCTCACATTTATTGGTCTAGGAATGAATATTCGATTTTAAATTTACGAATAATAATTATTTTGACGGATAAAAAATTAAAATTATTCGAATATTTTGAAAATTATAAATAATCAAATTTCGTTAATGAATATTCATAAAAAAAAATTTTTAAGTAATTTATTTTTTTCTGACATTTTTATTTTTTTCATTGTGAAGGTATATTGTTTACTTTCCTTATCGTAAATTTTATTTTATCATTTTCTAGATTACTTCAAAATTGTGGCGCAGACAAAGTGGGAAGATCATGAACATATTTGTATTCAAAGATGTTTTATAATTATTTTACAATAAAATTATTTAAAATTTTATATCATAATTTTTAGGTTAGATTAGTAAAGTAATCCATTCATAAGATTAGTAGTGCAGGGTTAGAATAGAATTTTAAAGATGGTTAATATATGCAATCAGAAGGAGAGAAAATCTTTTATCTTGTGAGATAAATATGATCAGTAGTCCCCTGAAAATAAAGACCCTGACAAAAAGATACCAAAAACAAATACCCATTTTAACATTTTTTTTAACTGTTTAGAAAACATGATAAAGTTTTTAAGAAAATTATTAATTTCTCCCACACTAAAAAATATATAACTAATAATAATGGGCAATCATGATAAACAATTTGATTGAATTCAATAAATTCTTCTAAATCATTGGAGGGTTTCGTTATATTTATAGATATTTTTGTTAGAAATTTGTTTTAATAATTTTATAATTCTCTATTTTGATCCTTGCCTTTTCATAATTAATACCCAATTCAAATGCAGGATGGGTAATATCATCATTCAGCAATTATAATATCATTATAAACAGTTGAAAGTCTGCAATGATAATATAACAATTCAGGCGCGTACGCAGAGAGGGGGGGTGAGGACAGGGGGGCAACCCCCCCCTCCCCAACCCAAAAAATGCAGATGCCGGATTATATTTTTCAAAAATATTATTGTTAATATTTATTCCTATCTCATATATATTTAATTACATTTATTTATCACATTCATACTAAGTTATTTTAACAATTAATTTCGATTTCAAGTTTTCCTTGGCGTAATTTACCTATTATTTTCAAATTTTAGTGGTATATTATTTATCTAAATTTCTAGTCAAATAATAATTATTCTGAAACTCCCAGTCCAACAGGGAGAAAGAAATTGCAAGCTTGCCCAATGAGATCGAGTCCCCGCCATCAAGCAGTAACAGCTTTTATGGAGTTAGAAGAGCCGATTATTAATGCTATTACTGAAATATCACAATGGCTTGAAAGAAATATTTCCTCAGAAGCAAGAAAATTATTGGATCCAATACTTATTCCAAATTTTTTTTATCATTATGTATTATTTAATTATACAACTATTTTATGTAATATTTTTCAAAAACATGACATTGACTTGATTAAGAAGATGAGAATAGCGGAGAGCATTTTATTAGAACTCAAGGAAATTAGAGCTAATGTTGGTGAAGAATTTTATATGTTATTGTTGAGTCAAAAGCAGAGCTATAAGTGTTTAATATTTACCCCCCTTCGACTTGCAGCAAGCAAGCTCATCGTCAAAACATTAATATAGGATCAGTAGAAGAGTTTATAGAACAAATGGCCCCTCTCTTAGATACTGATATAACCCATATAATTTTTAATTCATCATGCAGCACTTACAAATCCGCAGATATTACTTCCACAAAAGCCTTTCCAACCTTTTTCAGATGGTGATGGAAAAAAAAATTATTTGTTAGATTTTTATAAGGAAGATGTTAAAATATCTTATGATGCCTTATTAGCTGAATAACTATGATTAAAAGATTAACTATGGTTGATACAGTCCCAAAAAATGCTATGGATGCTTTACATTATTTCAAACACATTTTAGAATTTATTCCCAATGTATTAAAATGGTTATATATATATTAGCAACTCTTCCCATTAGTAAACTAATGAGAAAACATTTTCTTTTTTAAGAAGAAAGGAGCCCTGCAGAGGTACCATTTGCAGGGCAGGGCCCAGATTTTTTAAAAAAAAATTTTTCGGCCCGGGTTTTTTTTAAAAAAATATTTAGGCCAAGCCCAACTTTTTTGTAAATAAAATTTTCAGGCCCGGCCCGAATTTTTTAAAAATAAATTATATTTATTTTTGATTTTTATAGCTATAATAGCGATTTCAAATATTTGGTTTTAAAATATACAGCTCGATTTTCTTAAAAAAAATTTTCAGTCCCGCCCGGCCCGGGTATGTTTTTTTTTAAAAATTTTCAGGCCCAGCCCGGATGTTTTTTTTTTAAAATTGTCAGGCCAAGCCCGGGTGTTTTTTTTAAAAAATTTTGGGCCCGGCTCGGGTATGTTTAAAAAAATTAAAATACGGACCGGCTCGGAGGCCGGGCCTGCAAGTCTCTGAAAAACTACCTATGAAATACAACTTCTAAAAGTAGATTGAATGATTTGGATCT